TCGATAAATGTTTACCTCCACCTCTCTTCAGCTCTTAGTACCAGATTCGTAGCTCTTTTCTAACGAGTTTATTCTATGTTGCCATTATCGTTAGGCTTATGGAGACATAAGCTGTAAATGGAGTCTCATCACTCAACTTTGGGGGTTAAATTAATTGTCCTATGAGACACTAGGCGATGCAAGATGAGTCGATACGAGGAAGAGAGATCCCAATAAAAGAAGCCAAGTAGACCTGGTAGTTTTATTTCACTCTGTAAAAACTGGCAGTCTTAAACGGTAACATATGAAGTGTCTGTCTTTTCAAGCCTGGTGTTCGATAATGCCAAATCCCATAACAATGTCTTTCAGAGTTAATGAAACGAAATTCCCAAGTGAACCTGAGTAATGTGTGTATCTGTCTCTTGCGGAAAAAAAACTTTTGTCTCTTTTGCTATAAAGTATTTCCCAAAATTATAAATAGTTGCCATTTCTTCTTAAAACGTCGTATCCCTTCTTGAAAAATCGAACTACTTCCTGTACCTCTCTCTCTGAAACATCGTACTGTACAATAAAGTGTCGTATTTTTAGCTGAAATGTACTCTTTCTTGCAAAAACGTGTCTCCCTGAAATATCCTACCATTCCCTAATACGTCATACTTCTCCCTGGAACCGTCGTACCTCTTCTTAAACACTGACCGCTGCATCACTCCTTAAAACACTGACTGCTGTATCACTCCTTGGAACACTGACCGCTGCATCACTCCTTGAAACACTGGCCACTGCATCACTCCTTAAAACACTGACCGCTGTATCACTCCTTGAAACACTGGCCACTGTATCACTCCTTGGAACACTGGCCACTGCATCACTCCTTCAAACACTGATCACTGCTCCACTCCTTAAAACACTGACCACTGTATCACTCCTTAAAACACTGACTGCTGCACCACTCCTTGAAACACTGACCACTGCATCACTCCTTAAAACACTGACCACTGTATCACTCCTTAGAACACTGACCACTGCATCACTCCTTCAAACACTGACCACTGCATCACTCCTTAAAACACTGACCACTGTATCACTCCTTGGAACACTGGCCACTGCATCACTCCTTGAAACACTGACCACTGCATCACTCCTTGGAACACTGGCCACTGCATCACTCCTTGGAACACTGGCCACTGCATCACTCCTTGAAACACTGACCACTGCATCACTCCTTGAAATACTGACCACTGTATCACTCCTTGGAACAGTAACATCAAAAGTTATTTCATCAAAACTCTCTTGCTTCCATTCTACTTTGTTTTTGACCTTTCCCTCAGATTAAGGTGACGTCATCCTGCACAACAGATTCAGTTGTTGATGGGAACGTCATTAATCTGGTGGTTATTTTAAAATTATTTTCTGTTTCAGTAAATTTTGTACGAAAGTGTTCGATATGTAATTATTGTTGTTTTTAATATTGACCTGAAACACACATACGAATAATCATTTCGACATCGTTTGTTTTTTTTACTAAATAATCGTTCCTTACTGGTCAGATGTAACAATTTTTAATACGACCCATTTGCTGGTAGTTTCTTTTGAGAAATAGTGACGGAAATGGAATTGAAAAGTATGATCTATTATGCACTGTAAATAAATAAATGCACTCCATAACTGTAAGGAATGGAAATGCATATATTTATTATGTAAATCCAATCAAAATTTCGGGAGACGATGTGAAAAAAAAAAAAAAACTCTACCAGTGAACTGCAGTAAAGATGCATTCAGTCATATAAAAATTTCTTATCGATTGTTAAGCGTATAATTTATTTAACACGTACAAACGTATTCAGAGTGGAAAAAGATTCGACGTCCAACAGCGCCATTTTGTTTACAAGTCTCTAGGGTAATTTTTTATTTAATATCGATATTCTTCATTCTTTCCAGGCCTGACAACCACGAATATAAGTTATTTTTTAATCCACTTCTATTCTCCATTTTTGAAAGTTCTTTAAACTTTAAAATGTGATTATGGTTTAAAGTAATATAACTGGAAATCGAAGACAAAAAAAAAAAGCATTTAACTTTCATAAGTAGAATTAATAAAGTTAGTACCTTCTTGAATTTTTCAATCAATTTTTTTTCTATCGGATTAGTTCTTGTTTTTTTAAGCGCAAAGCTACACAAATGGGCCATCTGCGCTCTGTCTTCCGTAGGAAATCAAACCTCGGATAAGAAGAACGAATTATATACTCAATATAAAATGGAATTGTAGATTCATATAGAGGATGGAATGAAATGTACAAAACTGAAATATTATTCTGAAATTAGTGATTATGTATATATGCCTCCCGGTGGCTCAGTGGCAGGTCTGAGGGTTTATAAAGCTAGAAATCGGGTTTGGATATCTGTGGAGGACAGACAATAGATATCCCACTGTGTAGCTTTGCACTTAGCAACAAACAAACACAAAGTTATATAGTTCAATAGATTCGGTTGCTGATAGGAAATTCTTTACAGTGATGGTTCTTTCTTGTGTAGTATTTGTAGGCTTGAGCGCAGCCCATGCAGAGGTTAAGCGTGCCAAATTATAAATTCGAGGTTCCATCACCTCAAAAACAAAATCGGCCATGGATGCATTATAAGAATAACAGTCAAATCCCACTATTACATTTATAGTAGCACAAGAGTTAGCGATGGCTGGTGTTGACTAGCTACCTTCGATCTAGTCTATCACTAGCCCAGATAGTCCTCGAGTAGCTTCGGGCAAAATTCAACAGCAACAAAGTATTTGTAAAAAATCAGTGACTTCAAAGATTGGCACGAGAACTGCTTAGTTCAGCGATATGGGGTGTGTTTCAGATTCTTTTAAAATTTGTGACATGCAGACAGTAGCATAGACAGTGGACACGTACTGCTCAAAATGTGTTCTATTTCCCTCTCTCTCTCTCTCTATATATATATATGTTAATACAATTTTATTTCTATCTCTTTAGTTGAATAAATATACCTCATATTATCCGCTTTATGTCGTCATCCTGTAAATAATATTAATAAAAACAAACGCCTTAAAGTTGTCGCTACTGTTCTCTTGTATAACGAAAATAGTTATTTTGAGATAACGCGTAACAAACTTTGTTTATAAAACACCTGAATTACAAAATGCATAATAAACAGCATTTAGAATTTACCTAAGTCTGAAAACAAAACTAAGTTTAGAAGTTAGAAATAATTACAGCATCGAATTCTTTTTTTTTTAGTGCGACTAAAATTTAAACATAAACTCTATTTTACATTCATCTTACTGTTTTCTAGGATAATTCGCCAGTACTTTTTTGGGTAAAACTTTGTAATATTATGTTTGTAACTTTCAGGTTCAGGAAAATAAAATACCCAAGAAAATGTTTAAAGTTTATTTGTTAGTTTGTTACAAGCTCAACGCTGTACAGCGAGTTACGTGAGGTAGGCCCATCTCACGCAAGGATCCAGCCCCACAATTTAGAGATACAAGCCCTCAAGTATATCGTTGGGCCACTGGGAGAAACATCTAAAGTAAGATTTATGAGAATACAGTACTGACCTGGGACTGGTTTCCACCTATTTATACAAACATTCAAGTTACGTATACAGGAAAATCGAAGTAATTATTGTAAGCGCCCTCTAGTGGCGGTAAAAGCTTGTTCTAAATTAAATATTTCACGAACATAAAAATTCCACTATAAACATAATCGAATATTTATTTATGTCTATTGACAGACAGAGAGAGAGAGAAATTTAAAATAAATCTGTGCCACCTGAACCTTGATCGTATTGTTACGTCTCCGTTTGTTAATTGATTTTCCGTAACTTCGTTCCGACGAAACTTTAGTGACACAAGTTCTTACTTAATAAAACTGGTTTATTCTTTCCGAATATAACTTTACGATACACTTATTTTCAACAGTCGCGCTATAACAAACGCTATATCTCACGTGGCCAACAATATTTTGTCCGCATACATTCAATTACTCATTACACTGTTCCCGTCAGGTTGTGACCATCTTATATATACCAGCCTACCCCCAATCTAGTAAATGCTAGGGCATTCACGAAGGAACATGACATTTCTAGAAACGTGGCGTGACACTAGTCACGTGACCTCGCTGACGCAACAATATTGCTTACAATAAGAACTAGATTTTTGTACGTCCAAATTCACAAATAAGCAATAAACTCGTCATGGTTACACTCGACGCTACATCACGTATGATACATGGGACGTTTGTTATTAAACACAAAGCTACAAAAAGGGCTATCTGTGCTCTACCCACCACGGGTATCGCAACCCGGATTCTAGCGTTGTAAGTCCGCAGACATACCGCTGTGCCACGTGGGGGGGGGGAGATACATGGGAACCCACATGTAAATAGAATGCGTACGTATTATACTTTGAAAAATAAGGAGCTTGGTAGTAGTTGGTGTGTCTTAAAAAAAAACCCTGTAATTCTATTATTTTAAGGCAAAGCTTACATTTTGTTTTACATATCATTATTTTGTTAATCATCGAAACGTTTTTGAGTGAAGCCTACATATTGTTTTGCACACCTGTATCTTGTTAATCTTCAAAACATTTTGACATGGTTTTATTTCCTTTTTAAACTGAGCCAATTTTGTATAATTTCAGTTTCACGTAAAAATAAGAAAAAGACAGTCGCCAGCCGTACCAAGAAAAGAATGCATGCTACCAAGTTAAAACCAAGAAAAGAATGCATGTTACCAAGTTAAAATCAAGAAAAGAACGCATGTTACCAAGTTAAAACCAAGAAAAGAACGCATGTTACCAAGTTAAAATCAAGAAAAGAACGCATGTTACCAAGTTAAAACCAAGAAAAGAACGCATGTTACCAAGTTAAAATCAAGAAAAGAACGCATATTACCAAGTTAAAACCAAGAAAAGAACGCATGTTACCAAGTTAAAACCAAGAAAAGAACGCATGTTACCAAGTTAAAATCAAGAAAAGAATGCATGTTACCAAGTTAAAACCAAGAAAAAAACGCATGTTACCAAGTTTTATTAGATTTATCTTTCAAAGTTCTCAACTTTCTTCCATACAGTGGAGCAGGTTATTTGATAGAAAATAAAACCATCAAATAAGTGTTCGATCAGAAATAACTTTCGTGGGTTTTTCGAAAATGTAACATGCTTTTGAATCTCGAATCATATCTAACGTTTATCACAAATTTATTTGACCAATAACAAGCTTTATCCACAACCCAACGGACCAATCAGATTATTAGTCGTTACTCATGTGATCATCGAGGAAGCGGGAACATCCTTTCTTCATCTATTGTAAGGGCGACAATGTGGCAATGGATTAGACCAATGGCCTGAAGGCATGCAGCGTAGCTCCTTGGATCCAAGAGTTCGGAACCCCTCGTTACACGACACGACAACAATTTCACCAATGTCGTAATGGAACTTTGTAGGGATTATGTGCCCGTTTGCTGGTTCCCCCGGGAACTCACAGGCGGGTTTACCTGCATGGAAAAAAGAAAAAAAATATCTGCCATCTTAGTGCAAAAAAAAATAATTAAAATTCCAAGAAATGATAAAAATCTTTAGACAAAGATAAGTAATGTCGTCCATAATCCTTGTGTAGAAATCGTTAATCCGATTTTAAGAAGCTAATCCTGTTTCCGCACGTGGAGTCTGATTAGCTTATCAAAACGAATACGAAAAAAAAATTACCTTTTCCAAAACTCGCAATCTTTAAAAATAGACTCTGTGGCAAACTATAAAAATAATTCACCCAATATCTATATTCAATTAATGTCTCTCATCTAAAAGACAGATATTATACGCAGCAACAGATTGTCATGTAGATGTAATTGAGTTAGGTTTTTATACATGTATAATACGTTTGAAGTTGAATTAGAGAGATGAATTATTCAGACAAGGTAACTGTTTGATGTCTATTCGTAACCTGATCAGTCTATGAATGGATCAGACAGGGTAACTGTTTGATGTCTATTCGTAACCTGATCAGTCTATGAATGGATCAGACAAGGTAACTGTTTAATGTCTATTTGTAACCTGATCAGTCTATGAATGGATCAGACAAGGTAACTGTTTGATGTCTATTTGTAACCTGATCAGTCTATGAATGGATCAGAAAAGATAACTGTTTGATGTCTATTCGTAACCTGATCAGTCTATGAATGGATCAGACAAGGTAACTGTTTGATGTCTATTTGTAACCTTATCAGTCTATGAATGGATCAGACAGGGTAACTGTTTGATGTCTATTCGTAACCCGATCAGTCTATGAATGGATCAGACAAGGTAACTGTTTAATGTCTATTTGTAACCTTATCAGCCTATGAATGGATCAGACAGGGTAACTGTTTGATGTCTATTCGTAACCCGATCAGTCTATGAATGGATTAGACAAGGTAACTGTTTAATGTCTATTTGTAACCTTATCAGCCTATGAATGGATCAGACAAGGTAACTGTTTGATGTCTATTCGTAACCTGATCAGTCTATGAATGGATCAGACAAGGTAACTGTTTGATGTCTATTCGTAACTTGATCACTCATATTTTCTTTGCATTAAAAAATTTGTCAATCTTATTTATATTCAAAGCTAAAGCAATTGATATGTGTATGTGACATCAGGTTTTATGTTTTATCAAATACAGTGGATGCATGACAAATGATTTAACGATTTCAAAAAGAAATAAAAAAGAACAGAAACGTGTCACGTTAGTCAATATTTTATAAATTATTTTCCGAATTTGGAGCCAATCAGTTACTATGTTGTTCGATCACGACGGACCTATGGAGACAGTAATTTTGAGGAACGCGAGTTCTTATTGGTTCATTTACCACATCTGTTTTAAGAATACAGAGTTTTTTAACACCAGAGTCTAGCGAACACTCACGCCCCTCCCAAACAACCTAACCTACTGGTAATCAATACACAGAGTAAATAAGTAACTATTCAACTTACATATTGGTGGTTGTTCCGTCCACTCTCCGACATCATTACAAACCGCCACAGATTCGCCAACAAGGACAAATCCAGCATGACATGTATACGTTACTCTGTCGCCAGTCAGGTAGCGCCCTGTGTCTAGAACTCGACCATTAGGAGGGGGTAGTGGAGGTGTACAAGCAATAGCTGAAACCATGGAAAACAGGGGAAAAACGCAGTTAATTTATAAAAATAACAAAGAGAGAAAGTTTTCCTCTTAATAACACTGTTTAAATCTTTTTATGGCTTAAATAAGAAAGTGGCTCGTGAGATTAAAGTTGTGATATTTACTAAATTCGAAGCAAATACCTATGTTCATAGGATAGTAGTAGTTGTATCATTTGTGTTTTTGACTTTGTAAAATGTTTTATAATCACGAGAAAAAAAATTCTTCTAGTGACTGTTTGTATAGGTCTCTTTTATTTACTGAACAATACGTGCTTGTTTATAGCAAAGTAATTTTATCCATTTTAGCATTTATGATTAAGCTCACGTACTTTGATTGTATTTGTTCTATCTCATTTTAGCTGTTTTTAATTTTTAGCTTTTAAAATCCAAACTGCAAATGATCGGTCATTCCAGCCTATGCTATAAGAATGGTCTCATACAATCGTGTCCTGTTTGTTGTTAAGAATAAAGCTGCACATTGGACTTTTTTTTTTTGCTGTGCCCATCACAGGTATCGAAACCAGATTTTTAGTGTTATAAGCCCTCTGACTGTCTGTTGAGCCATTTGGGGGGGCGTTTTAAGGGTTCGATACCTTGTATTTACTTTGTTAATGATATTATATTCTTTCTCATTCTTTCTTTTTTGTGTGTGACAGAGAATTTATTTTTTATTTAGTTCTTAAAAGCTACTAACAAGTTTTTTATTTGAAACTATATAAATGAAAGTAGAAACCTGTTACGATTGTAAATCATATTTAGTTAATTACGTTTACAACGACTTTTTATCAAGAAAGAAAAGCAGATTTAAAGGTTACACACGGCTTGAAAAAGTCGAAAGAACTGGGATCGAGAAATTAGTTTTCATTGGTCACTCGTTGTTGTTTGTGGAGATTACATAGAAAGATAAAAATGACAGAATATCTAATAATAATCTGCACAGATCGCTAGTGTTCTTTGTTATGAATGAGTTTTATCACTTTTGTATCTCCTATTCGTTTTTGTTGTTGCATGTGTGCTACTATAAATACACGAGCACTTATACTAAGGTTTCGTGAATCTCACGAGCTTAAAACTAAACTATTACAAATACACCAACACTTAAATTCAGGTTTCGTGGATTTCACGAGCTTAAAACTAAACTATTACAAATACACCAACACTTAAATTCAGGTTTCGTGGATCTCACGAGCTTAAACTAAACTATTACAAATATACCAACACTTAAATTCAGGTTTCGTGGATTTCACGAGCTTAAAACTAAACTATTACAAATACACCAACACTTAAATTCAGGTTTCGTGGACTTATAAGCTGTGTGGAATTTAGGTGGTAGCGATTGTTTTGTTTTGTGGCTTATTAAATTCGTTTCATTAATACACTTAGTTATAATGTTTAAATATTATTTGGAAATTATTATTTATTATCATAATTATAAATATTATTTTGTATTTTGAGCTTGATTTATAGATTTAGTTTGTTTGTTTTGAATTTTGCGCAAAGCTACACGAGGGCTATCTGCGCTAGCCGTCCCTAATTTAGCAGTGTAAGACTAGAGGGAAGGCAGCTCGCCAACTCTTGGGCTACTCTTTTACCAACGAATAGTGGGATTGACCGTCACATGATAACGCCCACTGCTGAAAGGCGAGCATGTTT